ATGTGTTTGTTTGTGTGTTGTGTGTGGCGCGAAGGCGCGACCCCCATTCTGAGAACGTTTGGCGCTCCACCCGTGTTGCTGCGACAAGCTGACATCTAGGGGGCTCGGAGTTGACACCGAGATTTGATTTCAGCTGGGGCTTAGATTTGGATTCGGGTCTGGGTCCAGGTTCGGGTTGTGATGAACGCTCATTCAGCTGACGCCAGCAGAATGGGCCCTTTATGATTAAGGTCGTGATGCATGCGTTTTAGTATGAGTGAGGGGGCCGAACGGTCATTCATTATCTCTGCGTGCGAGGCTGCAGTTGGGATCCGTGGTGAGGATTATGCTTGTTGCTTTGTTGCTGGTGTTGTTGGTGGTGTTGTTGGTGTTGTTACTGTTGCTGTTGTTGCTGTTATTGTTTACTTGTTTGTTTGTTTATTTGTTTGTTTCTTTGTGTGTTTGTGTGTTTGTTGTCGTCGTCCCACCCGCGATCCACCCCTCGACCCACCCGCGACCCACCCCGCGACCCACCCCGCGACACACCCCGCGACACACCCGCGACCCACCCCGCGACCCACCCCGCGACCCACCCGCGACCCACCCGCGACCCGCCCGCGACCCACCCGCGACTCACCCCGCGACCAACCCGCGACCCACCCCACGACCCATCCGCGACCCAACAGCGACCCCTTTGCGACCCACCCCGCGAGCCACCCCGCGACCCACCCCGCGACCCACCCGCGACCCACCCTCGACCCACCCACGACCCAACAGCGAGCCCACCCGCGATCTACCCACATTAGCTTAACAAAAGATTGGCGCCTTCGGCGGGCTCGTTGCATAATTTGTGAAACTGTGGCGCCTGCGGCGGGCTTTTCCAGAGTCTCGCAGACTGCCGTCGTCCCCACCGCCCCCTCACTCTTATCCGCATCTGCGGGGGGTGCTACGTATTAAATGGGGGTGCCCCACATCCACCTGTCTCTCAAGCCAGCACGGAAGCATGATCAGAAGCGGGAGAACGCATGTGCAGCAAGCCCTGTAGTTATACTGATGCTGTGCTGGTGATGTTGCACGTAACGCCCCCTCTGCCTCCCCTTTCCCCTCTTCCTCTCTCTCTCTCTCTGACCGTGGTTGTTGCAGCCTTGCTGATGCGGCACAGAGGCGCTTGTATCATTCTCGTGGTCGACATCGCCATCCTCGTCGCCGTCGTCATCTCCACCCTGCATAATCATCATGAGTACAGTCATCATCAGTGGCAAATTCGTTTTAAGCGTTTTCGCGCGAGGGAGCATCTGCTCCGCCTGGGATGGATTAGGGGATGGCCGAGGGAGGAGGCTGCCCGCTGGGGCGTAGAGGCCGACGCCACCCGTCGGGCGGGCGAGCGCGCGGCGCAATAATTTCGTGCCGAGACGCCCCGACGCCGGGCGCAGACCAAGCGACATGCGCTGGCCGACTTCCCGGGGCCTCACACTGAACAAATCAGGACACTGCATGTCTGGGGCTCGAGGACGACGCTATGGAGGAGCTCGACGACGGGGAAGACGACGGCGACGGCGACGATGCAGGCGAGCTCACGGGCCAGGGTGTCGTCGGGGCGGGGGCCCTTGTCTCCTGGGCTGCCGCGGCCCTTGGGCCGGTCGTTCGGTTCTCGGCGCCGCGGGGAGGGCCGATGATTTCGGGATGTTCCTGCACGCCCTCGGGCACCTACCCTCTCCGACCTGGCGGCCTGCTCTCTCAGCGAGCGCCCGAAGCAGCACGTGGCGGGCGACCTCCCTTCGTATTTTTTTTACGCCTCGGCCTGCTGCAGTACCAGGACTGGACGTCTGGCCGCGTCTGGTTGGCGACCTTGGAGGACGAGCTGGAGGACCTGAGGGCGCCGTACAAATGCAAACCAGGCTTCGGCGTGGACAACATGGACTTCGGCAGCGCAGACAGAGAGAGCGTTGACGGTACCCTTGCCGAGAGCGCGGGAAATATGCTCGGAGATTGTTGGGCATCACTTCCACGGCCGACGGCGAGCTGGCGGACGCGGGTGGCACCCAGTGGATCATCATCATGGGACTTACCGAGCAGACGTACATGGGGGACGCGTGCGATAGCGAGGGCGTGGAAGAGGTGCACGCGCCCAACGACCTCCCCGTTGACCGCCTGCAGCCGCACGGCGTCACCGGCATGAGCGATGGTAACATGCGGCCCACACGGGCTGCAGGAGGAGGAGGAGGAGGAGGAGGAGGAGGAGGAGGAGAAGGGGGAGGAGGAGAGAGGAGAAGGAGGAGAGAAGATTAGGAGGAGGATGATGAGGAGGAGGAGGAGGAGGAGGACGGAGGAGGAGGGGGAGGAGGAGGAGGAGGGAGGAGGAGGAGGAGGAGGAGGAGGAGGAGGAGGAGGAGGAGGAGGAGGAGGAGGGAGGAGAGAGGAGAGAGGAGAGAGGAGAGAGGAGAAAGGAGGAGAGATGAGGAGGAGGAGGAGGAGGAGGAGAAGAAAGAGAAAGAGGAGGAGGAGGAAGAGGAGGAGGAGGAGAGCAGAGGAGGACGGGTCGCCTAAGCCCTTCGGAGAAACCCCCCAGAACGGAGTGGTGACCCATGCCCGCGCCGCCGTATCCTCGCGAGTTCATATTCGTGGTGACGCCCTGCCGAAGTTACCCAAGTGGACGCCGCCTTAGCCTGACTGGCACGAAGACTGGGGCGGCATGGGGCAGGCCCCAAGGACTGGCCGGGCATGTGATCATGTGTAGCTTCTGTCTTTGCCCCCGTTCGCACGAGCATCCGTCGTCTTGTGACGGAGCCTGCGCCGACCCGCTCCCATTCCGCGCGCCGTCGGAGCCAGACAGCTGACCAGACGGTTCGGCACCCGGCTTTCGGGTCGCGGCGAACGTCGCTTGCCGCGGCCTCGTACGGCCCGCGCCTGGCTGGAGGTTGCTGCCGCCGCTGGCGCGGTCACCAGGGGCCGCTGCTGGAGCCATTGGACCTGCATCCGCCTGAGGGTTTGGATTCGGAGAGTGGGTGTGGGCCCCTCGCTCGTGTTCGTCCATGGCGGGGTGTTTCCCCCACCCCCCTCCCTCCGCAGGGACTGCGTGCTTCCCGCGTCGTCGAGGTTGGACTGTTGCCTTGGCCCCGGGCGTGGACGCACAGCACAGTTAGCTCTGGCCACTGCCTCGTTGAAGCAATGCGCCGTCACCGTCATGAGCATCACATCAACATCACCATCATCATCATCAAAAACATCATCATCATCATCATCATCATCATCATCATCATCATCATCATCATCATCATCATCATCATCATCATCATCATCATCATCATCATCATCGTCATCGCCATCGTCATCAGCATCAGCATCAGCATCAGCATCAGCATCAGCATGATCATCAGCATGATCATCATCATCATCATCATCATCATCATCATCATCATCATCATCATCATCATCATCATCATCACGATCCGCTGCAGATAATATTCAAGCCGTCGGGCTCGCAGCAAGACAGAACGGTGCGTTTGCGGCGGAACTGATGGTTGCAGATTGGCCTTGCACCCGCGAGAAGGGCAAAGATTTGCTTATCGCAACGATGGCGATCGCGCATCGCGTCCGTGGGGGCGCTGCCAGGCCGAAGGGCGAAGGCGCGGAGGCACCAGACCGGGCGCCAAAGACTCAAGAGACCGTCCCACCGCTCGACGGCGAGGTCTTGGCGACCCTGGTGGCCGAAGTCCGTGGACCCACGGCGTGGGACGAGCTCCGCGGGGTCGGCAATGGAGGCGCCCCGATGCAGAGCCCACTGCGCTCGCCCGAGCCCGGCACCGAGAGGAGGATGAGCCATACGAGCTCAGGAGCCAGCACCGCGAGCTCTTCCAGTGAGACCGTGGCCGCCCGCCGTCGCGCCAACCGCCAGAGACTCCTCGGGCCCGATGGCGTCTTCGTCGGTGAGTGCAAGGGCGGCTTCTGCAGCACCAACTGCTCGAGGTGCGCGCCGAGAAGGCGCCCGGAGACGGCCGGGCTGGTCGCGAGGCAGGCGGCGCAGCCTTCGGCGCGAGCATAGATCGAACGGCCAGCCTTTGCGCGTGCGCGCTCCGTTTCGGCATCCGCTTCGCAGTGTGTTCTGTGCTCCGCCGTCTTCCACAGCGATGATGGTGATGGTAATTATCCCATCTTCAGGTGAGCTCACGAGCGCACTTCTTTCCCCGAGTCCACGGACGTCGAGTCGCCAGCTGGTGTAAAACCACGGACCACTCTTCCCGCCCGACACTTCGCTACAAGTCCTTTCGTTGCGGCGTTGATCAATGTATTGATGCTGCATGCTGGCATGAGGAACAATAAGTAGTTTGTGATACGCTGCATCCTCTTCAGGCTCATCTCCATTCCCCGCCTGTTGTGCAGGGTGACATTTTGTGCGCGTGGCCGAAGCGCCGCCGCTAGAGTACGAAGGAGAGTCGACATGCGTTAATTGTTGTTTCTTGGCGCGCGGGATTCACACGTACGGGAGCTTTCCGAAAGTTTGCATTGTACATGGCCAGCCGCAATTTGATGCGGGCACTTCACTTCGGGGGAAGTAGGACATCCCTTCTTTGAAGACTGGCATCATGGGCCTTCTTGCCCATCCCGCCACAGTGACCTCGTCTTCCTGGGCTGCCTTAGTTCTTGCGACTGGTGGCGGTGTTGTTGCGACATGCTTGTCGAGTGAGGGGGGAGTGGGGGCGGAGAGAAGGATAAGGAGAGTCTTATGATGTTCCAACCTACTGTAGCCTCGATCACCAGAAAGAATTTCGAGCACTAGAGGGGCACCGAAACTCGAGTGTCTTCACGTGTCGGGCCCTGGGAGGCACTCGCCCGACACCGCTTCGACACTGTTTTTTTGACACTCGTCTGGGCGCTCGAAACACTATTTCTGGGATGTGGTCCTCAAATACGATGGGGACAACATTTCGGCGTCACCCCAACATACTTCTACTATATGTGCGTCGCCCCCGCAGGGGCGACGCGCGCACCGAGAAATCTTATAGTATATGCGTCGTGGCGGGCGCTTTCTGGCCACACCGCTTGCGAAACGGCATACTACAAGATGGGTTTACTATACGTTCGGGTCGGACGCGCGCCTCCGAGGAGGACATACAGTATGAGTATGCCTCTGTGCGCCCCAACATGAGGAGGGCCGTGCCTGTGCGCAGGGGTGTGCCTAAGTGCTCAGCTCTGCGCGCGGCGCGAGCTTTTCGGGGCCTTGGCGCGCGCCCCGCCGTCTGCTCACGACCGCCTCTCTCGCGCCGACGCCGGCACGTGATCTCTGCTTGGGCGGAGCTCGGCGTCGGTGGATGCCAACCACAACCTCGTCCAAATTGACGTCAAAAAGGGCGGCCACGCCCCTGCGATGTCGGCGCGCCCTCCAATGTCGATAGACGCCCCTCCAGTGTCGGGGCCAGGGCAAAAGCGGTCTGACCGGGAACGACTCGGAAGTTCGATGATGACCGACATTGGAGGGGCGGCGCATACAAGTACCTCGCAGTCACCGCAACTCTGACCAGTATCTCCCCACAAACAGTTCAGCCACGTAAGACATGTTTGAGGTTAACTTTGACGAGGGGATGTTGAAAACAATGCCTCACCTTCGCTGCGCGGGAGTGCCATGCATGGATGATTAGCGATAGTCCCCCAAGGTGCCTGGCGACCTGGGCGGAGTTGTCCACTTAATTACTTGGTATTCCCTTTCTGTCTCTTGTGGTAAGTTTGCTCAACAGTCTTACCCTAAGTAGAGTGGAGTGGACGCATATCGATCGCAACAGGTGGCCTGCCAAGGTGCTGTCCACCTCACCTCTGCTTTCTGCAGTGTTTGCTTGCCTGGAAATCCTGTCTGGGCGAAGGGGTGCTTCAGGATTCCTGCACTCGGGCGAGCGTCCGGGGACCACGCGCAGCCGCCGCCTCGAGCGCGGCGACGAGGCGGAGCAAGTCGAGCAGTCGGAGCGAGCGAGCGCGCGCGGCCGGGCCCTCGGGCGCGGGACCACTTCTGGGTCGACGGCACATGCCACCCGGGGCAGGGTGGAGAGCGAGGAGAGCGAGCCAACGTCCGAAGGCAGCGGCACCGACGCGTGTGAGGCGAACCAGGATGATGGAAAACACCCACACACATACATTTGTCGTCGGCGGCGAGGCAGAGGCAGTCCGCACCAGCGTGAGGCGAATCGGGCGACGCACACGCACACAAGCACACACACACACACGCGCACACGTACATACACGCACACACACACACACGCACACACACACACGCACACACACACACACACACACACACACACACACACACGCACACACACACACACACACACACACGCACACACACACACACACGCACACGTACACGCACAGGCACACACACACACGCACACGCACACACACACACACACACACACGCACACACGCACACGCACACACACACGCACACACTCGGAGTTCAAGAGACGGGAGTCAATTTAAACGGGGTCAGTAAAGTCAGGGCGCCGGATCTTGCAGGATCCTGCAGAGCCAGGGTCGCATTGACCCGGGCTTGGGTGCAGGATCCTGCAGGATCCTCCGGGATTTTGCCAGATCTTGCAACGCCCGATTGACCCTGGTTTGGATTGACCGGGATCAGTATATCCCCGACACACACACAACACACACACACTTTTTCGCGCCGCGGCCCCTGCGCGCAGCGACAGGGCGCAGCAAGGTCGGAGAAGCGGGCGCGCGCGCGTCTAGAGGCCGAGCTCTCAACCCGCTCGGAACAGGCAGCGCCGGCAGCCGGACATACGTCATCAGGGCGTGGATGACGGAGAGGTCGGACGAGTTAGGCAGATCGCCGGCCGGCATGGAGACGACATGACCGAGAAGGTAAGAGGGGGTGCAGTGGAGGAAATTGCAGCGATACCATGGCCAGACGACTGACACACACACACACATACACACACAAACGCGCTCACGCGCCGCTGACATTCGATCAAACTCCGTATCTTTTAACCGATCCCTATCCCCATCTTCATCCCTATCCCGATCCCCACCATGCCACCACCCCAGTTGGGGATATGCCCCTCGAAGCCCGAAGAGAATAGACTATATCACAATCTAGGGGGGTAAACTGGATGGTTTAACAATGCTAATAAAGTTGTGTGCCGCTTGACGGGCTACTTTATGTTCGATTGGTTTTGGATGGCGCGCCGATCTTTACAGCCTGGACCTGCGTGCCAGATGGAGTCTCATGCGACGTAGGTTGCGCAGTAGCACTGTTGACCAATGTTCTAAAGTGGTCGGTCACTTGAGAAGATCTGGTGGATCGTGGCGCCAGTGCTGACTTGCAGAAATGCAAAGCACGCTGACCACCGACACTAGAGTGGGTCACTGCCGTTGGCATCATCTATATTATCATCCTCTTGCCTTCTTTCTTGCCCCCTCCTGCTGGTCATCATCATGAGCACCATCATACTCCTCATCATCATCACCAGCACCACCATCATCATCATAATGATCATCGTCATCATCATCAGCAGCATCATCAGCATCATCAGTTCCTTTGAGGAGAAGGAATAACTCCTAAGTGCAAGCACTGTTTGGGGAACCAGTTTGTTACCTCGACTCGTCGGGCTCTCCCGAGGCTTCTCTTGGATGATCCTGAGCCGTCTTGGGGCCTCTTTGAGCCATATTGAGGCAGTGGGCCGTCATGAGGCCATCTTGCGTAGGCTGTCCTGGAGCCAGTTCAGGCAGTTCCGGCCGTCTTGGCGGCTTTGGCAGCCTTTCTCAGCCGTCTTGGCAGCCTTCGTGACCCGCAGGGAGACGCCATGGCCGCCCAGGGACCTCCAGGAGCAGCAGTGGTGCACGCGACTAGGCGCGACGTGAGGGGTGCGTGGGCCTTTGAGATTTGGCATCGCTCGGACGTGTGTATTTTTTTCGGCTAGGGCCATCGAGGAGCAGATTGGCCACCTTACAAAAAAAGGAAACGCACGAAATCGACAAGTACACGGGGAATGGACGTCCGAGCGATGGCGAGTAGAAGACTACAGAAACCCTGCAAGGTTGTTCTTGGTATCCTTCCACGCCTCGACGTGCCACGAGGCACGCTGGCGAATGACGGGAAGCGCCTCTGGCGTGCACCGTTGGTTCTGAGGCTTGAAAATTAAAGTGAAGGATACGGGCGGGATACGGGCTGCATCCCGAAACTCGCTGGTGGCTGACGGGAAGCGTCTTCGAGGAACGAGAAGCGAACTGGACATTGTGGCTGAATGTGAAAATTTCAGAAGTTCTCGAAGATCCGCGCGCGCCGCGAAACATGGGGTAGCGGGCTGCACTTGGCCGTTTGCTGGCGGATGACGGGAAGCGCGCTAAGACTCGAAGAGTCGCGCGATGGACTTTGGTTTCGACCCGGACGGAACGTGTTTTTAAACTGGGGAGGTGCAGGAGGGGAAGGGCTCGGGATTCCTCCGTGGCGGAACCCTGGCGCATGACGGGAAGCGCGTTAAGACTCGAAGAGTCGCTCGATGGACGTTGGTTCCGGCCCGGAAGCAAAATTCAATTGGAGAGGTGCAGGAGGGGAAGGGCTCGGGGTTGCTCCGTGGCGGAACCCTGGCGGATGACGGGAAGCGCGCTGAGACTCGAAGAGTCGCGCGATGGACGTTGGTTCCGGCCCGTAGGGGGCATATTTTTCAACGGGGGAAATGCAGGAGGGGAAGGTCTCGGGGTCCCTCCCTGATGACGGCCTGGCGGATGACGGAAAGCGCTGTACGAAGGCTTTGGCTCCAGCGCTTCTGGCGATTAACATCGTGTCAGCGGGGTCGCAAGCCCCCGCACAGCATGCCTCCCAGTCGATGGCAGTACATGGTGTGTTTCGTTTCTCTTCTTATCGCCATCGCTAGCCAATTCATCCCACGCTGGACGGCCGAGCGTTCGGTGACGGCACGATCATCGTGGAGTTCCGTGTTGACATTTGATACGATGATTGAAGCGAGCCAGTGCACAGCATCAGAGGTTTTCACCGCGCTTGCCGCGCCATTATCACCAGAGGGCCAGCGTGGTCGTGGTCCGATCTCAAGGTAGGCCAGGACGTTGTGGCAGACCGTCGCAACGGGGCTATTCAATTCGGCGACACAGAAGTAGCAACAGCTTCGAGAAATGTTTGGGGGGCCAAGGTGTTGGAGCGCGACGGGGCCTCGATCATCTCGCTGTCCTGCTGTAACATGGTCAGTTGGCTCGAGGAAGTTCAGGATGATCCCGACACCACAGGCCATCGTGTACTCTAAGGGCCAGCTTTGGACCGACGCATCTGCTACCTCGACGCAAAGGAGTTGAGGACCCTCAGCAAGCTCTGTCCACGGCTGTACAACAAAGCGGCCATCGCGCTCACCAGATGGCTTGTGTGGGACCCGACAGTTACCAAGGGGCTTGGGTTCCCGTGCGCCTACATTCGGTGGTTTGTGGTCGACTACAATAACAAACTCCGTGACCTTGAGAACAAAGTTGGTGCAGTAAACCTCCGTGGCCAGCGAGAGCCGACAGCAATCGCAGCCCTCAGACTCGGCCAAGTTTCGTTGCTCTCACCCTGGTGAGGTTTCAGCCGTTACACTATTTAGTCTTGCGTTTTTTCCAGCGTTGGCGCGTCTCCTGCCTTTTTCCCCTGTCCTTGGCCTGCTGCGCTGATGACTTTGAATTGGGCTCAGCCCGCAGGCTGGTGGTTGATCTATCTGTCTGCCGCCCTCGTTCCACCATCCTGGAGCGTTGCCGATTTTGCACTGCTGATGAGGGAGGCGCCAGCATCGGTGGCCAATGCTGCTCTACATCCGCCGCGTTGCGCCGCCTGAGTTTCCTTGCCTGCCGCCAGCCCCTTGGTCAGAGGACCAGGCACTGATGCGCGAGCCTCCCACCAGAGGGTGGCATGCTCCGCGTGCGACGTCTATGGATGCGCATGCGCGCGGGTCGACCACGCGGTTGGCCTTGTGATAGCTCGCTAGACCGATTGATTTAGGGTGGCGGTGGATTTTTACAATACAAAACTGCACGACTCGAAGGGTCGCGCGATGAACGTCGGTTCCGGCCCGGAGGTGCAGGAGGGGAAGGGCTCGGGAGCGCTCCGCGGCTGGACCCTGGCGGATGACGGGTAGCGCGCTAAGAAGCCTCAGGGCCCAAGTGGCTTCTTCTGTTCCTCATTGCGCCTTGGTGGGTCGCATGTCCCACCCGCCCTTCCTTCACTGCAGCCACTCCCTCACATTTTCGCGCAAATCACATTTGCATTTTGCGCCTGCGATGATGATTTTTTTCGGGGAGTTGCTGCGGAGGCGAGCGGTGGAGGTCGGCGCGAACATCTTGGAATTTCGCGATGCGCGGGAATCCGGCTGACAGGGGCGACCAAGTGCAAAGCGCACAAGGTGCGCGCAGAGCCTGCTGCGCCATCCTCGCCAGAGCGCGGGCGCGGTCCAAGGTCGACCTCCTTGAAGGCCTGGACGCCGCGACTAAGCCGTGCAATGTGGCTACCCATTACGGCGGAACGTCACATACACAGCAGCTGCCGACGGCGAATTGTACGTTGTTCTCACCATTTGCGCCGTGGGCCTTTTTTTCTTCCTGCTCCTCCTGTGGTGCACCGACGAGGGGATTTCACTGTGCGGTATTACAGAGCCGATACAATGCTGATGCTGGGTTGTAGACGAATCCCTCCCGCACGTTGCACCTGAATTTCTAGCGCTATTGGGCACTCTGCCTACGATCGAGCACCAGCGGGAGCGCGACCACTACATCCCTACACGCTCACCTTGTTCTGCATGTCACCTGCAGGCCGGAAGGGCCGATGATGTCTCCCGCCAGGTGGCCTTACGTTCCTGTGACACCGATGGCGTCTTGGTCGGTTGGAGGGCCTTGTGATTGCGTGCCGCCCATCGCCTTCCTCGTCCTCTACGGGCACGGTTCAACCGACAAACGTCAATCCTGGCCTACCACATTTGCGACACATGCCGCGTTCAAGGCGAAGGTTAGGCTCAGCGGGAAAAGATGCCACAGTGGAGTGGAGGCAGTTGCTTGCTGTAGAGTGTTGTGATGTTCTATGCGTTTTGTGAATGCTACATTTCGTTTTCCTTTTCTTTTAGGGCCCCCCACTGCCCTGGTGACTTTGAGGTCGGTTCGGCCTGCAGCGGGCCCTGCAGCAGTGGTGACTTTGAGTTTGGCTCGGCCCTGCAGCCCCGCCCCTTACCCCCATGTCTGTCAGGAGCTTTGCAAACGTTTGCTTCCGCTGGTACGGGCGGCTGTTGCGTGACATCATTTTGTCATTGTCTTGCAGACGACGCTGATATTTCTTCTGGGTGACGACCTTGAACCTTGGCCCGAATGGATCAAGCGTGCGACGCAGCAGGCTGAGCATCGCATTTCGCAGCTTGGAATCGATGACTGGACCACCACAGTCAAAAACGCAAATGGGCATGGGCACGGGTAATTGCTACAAGCAGTGCCAAAGAATGGCCACGACGAGCGCTACAATGGGAGCCACAAGGTGACACGTACATACGTACACAACGACGTGTTGGGCGGCAAAAGACAAGGTGGTGGGACGACAGATTATCCTATGTTGGACGGTGTGTAGAGGACGCGCCGCAGCACGTTCCAGGGTTACTACGATTCGCAGATACGGGCATATGGAACAGCTTGGAGTCTGGGTATACAGACAATGAATGGTCAAGGCCCGTTTCCAGATAGCAGATTCTCTTCTGTCCGACTCCGGCGTCTGGCGCCTCTCCGTCTCCGACTCCGGCTCTTCTGATCTTGGCTGCTCAAAGTACCAACTCCAGAGCCTGAGAGGCCAACATGGGCGCCCCGGCGCGAACCCGCTGCACCCGCGTAGGTGCCTTCCGCGGGACTGTCTGTCTGTCTGTCTGTCTGTCTGTCTGTCTGTCTGTCTGTCTGTCTGTCTGTCTGTCTGTCAGTCTATGTCGCGCGTGCGCGGTTTTGAGTTCCCATAGCCCGCCACCAGTCCATCCGTCAGAGGACCGCACACTGACGCGCGAACCTTTCCGCCAGAGGGTGGGCGCATCGCGCGCAGCGTCCTCGCATGCGCGCGCGCAGGTCGGCCTCGCGGCCGGCCCTGTGAAGGCTCGCAAGACCTCTTGAATTTTGGGTTGCGTCGTCAGTTAAACTTATATATATATATGTATATATATATATATATATAAAGTTCTAGAAACACACACACACACACACAAAAACGCTAAGACTCGAAGGGTCACGCGATGGGCGTTGGTTCCGGCCCCGAGGGAAAAATTTCAATTGGGGAGGTGCAGGAGGGGAAGTGCTCGGTGTCGTTCCGTGGCTAGACCCTGGCGGATTACCCAAAAAGGCCGTTTCGCTTCGGACATCCTTACAACATGAAGATATCAGAGGATTTATGTTCGGGCGCCGCATGT